TTGATACACAAAAGCTTTTTTGTTTGATCAGATCCCAGTAATGTATTTTTGGTATTGCTTCAATTGCCCGGGGCGGGGTCATCCTCATAAAATATTCTCCCAGGCCAATTTCTTCAAGTGTTTTCCCTGCACTCTCTTCTAGTATTTTTATAGTTTCATGTCTTAAGTTTAAATCTTTTATCCAGTGAGAATCAATTTTTGTTAATGGTGAAAGGTGGGGGTCCAGTTTCAGTCTTCTCCAGGTCACCAGCCAGATCACCCAGCAACATTTGTTAAATAGGGACTCTTTCCCCCACTGAGTATTTTTGATAGGCTTGTCAAAGATCAAATAACAATAACTATCTGAATTCATCTCTTGGTTCTCTAGTCTCTTCCATAAATGTACTGCCCTGTTTTTGTGCCTGTACCATGGTGTTTTGATCACTATCCATTTATAGTATAGCCTGAAGTCTGGTAACGTGATACCTCCTGATTTGTTCTTATTTCTGAGTAAGGCATTTGCTATTCGAGTTTTCTTCTGATTCCATATAAAATGAAGTTCTATTTTTTCAATTTCTTTAAAGTATGACAATAGTCCCTTAATAAGGATTGCATTAAATGTGTAGATTGCTTTGGATAGTATGGACATTTTAACAATGTTGATTCTTCCCAGCCATGAGTATGGTATGTTTTTCCATTTGTTAGCATCTTTAGCTATTTCTTTTATCAGAGTTTCATAATTCTCTTCATAGAGGTTTTTCACATCCTTTGTTAGGTAAACTCCCTGATATTTCATCTTCTTTGGCAGAATTGTGAATGGAATAGGGTCCTTGACTGTTTTTTTCAGCTTGACTATTTTTGGTATATATAAAGGCTACAGATTTATGAGTGTTGATTTTGTAACCTGAGACAATGCTGTATTCCTTGATGATTTGTAAGAGTTTTATCTAGAATACCTGGTGTTTTCCAGATATACAATCATATCATCTGTGAAGAGTGAAAGTTTTATCTTTTCTGACCCTATATGGATACCCTTGATTGCCTTTTCCTCCCTAATTGTGATGGCTAAGACTTCTATTACAATGTTAAAAAGCAGTGGAGACAATGGGCAACCTTGCCTGTTCCTGATCTGAGTAGAAATGATTTAAATTTAAGTCCATTCAATATAATATTGTCTGTAGGTTTGCTGTAGATGGTCTGTATCCGTTTAAGAAATGTCCCTTCTATAACAGTTTTCTTAAGTGTTGTGATCATGAATGGATGCTGGATATTATCAAAAGGTTTTTCTGCATCAATTGAGAAAAGCATGTTGTCTTTGTTTTTTTAATTTTGTTATGTGATGAATTATATTTATACATTGACATATATTGAACCAGACATGATTCCCTGGGATATAACACACTTGGTCATGGTATTTAAGTTGTTTTATGTGTTGCTGGATTCTGTGTGTTAGGATCTTGTTGAATATTTTCACATTAGTATTCATTAGTGATATTGGTCTATAATTTTCTTTTCTAGTTGGGTGTTTTCCAGGTTTGGGGATGAGGGTGATGTTAGCTTCATAGAATGTGTTGGGTATTATCCCTTCTTTTTCCATATTTTCAAAAAGATTGAGTAATATATGTACTAGTTTCTCTTTAAACATTTGGCATAATTTTGATGTGACTCCGATCTGTTCCTGGGCTTTTCTTTTTAGGGAGATTTCTTATAGTTGATGCTATTTCCGAATTTGATATAGGCCTGTTCATAATTTCCACTTGATTCTGGCTAAGTTTTCGGAGGTAGCATGCTTCCAAGTATTGGTTGATTTCCTTCAGATTTTCATATTTCTGGGAATAAAGTTTCTTGTAATATTCATTAAGGATTTTTTGGATTTCTGAGGGGTCTGTTGTTATTTCATCTTTACCATTTCTGATTGATGAGATTAGAGATTTTACTCTTTTTTTCTTGGTTAGGGGGGCCAAAGTTTTATCTATTTTATTGACCTTTTCAAAACACCAACTTTTTGATTTATTGATCTGTTGTATAATTCTTTTGTTTTCAATTTCATTTAATTCTGCTCTAATTTTGGTTATTTCTTTTCTTCTGCTGGGTTTGGGGTTGGTATGTTCTTTCTTTTCCAGTTGCTTGAGATGTCCCATTAAGTTGTTAACTTTCTATCTTTTCATTCTCTTGAGGATGACTTGCAGTGCTATAAATTTCCCTCTTAGGACTGCCTTTGCAGTATCCCAGAGGTTCTGATAATTTCTGTCTTCATTATCATTTTGTTCCACTAATTTGTTAGTTTCTTTTCTAAACTCATCTATGAGCCAGCTATCATTTAGCATTAGATTATTTAGTTTTCATGTTTATGAATGAGTATGCAGATTCCTTTTGTTACTGAGTTCAACTTTTATTCCATTATGGTCTGAGAAGATGCAAGGAATAATTTCTATTCTTTTAAATTTGCTGAGGTTAGACTTCTGACCTAAGATGTGATCAATTTTGGAGTATGTTCTATGGGTAGATGAGAAGAATGCATATTCAGTTTTATTAGGATCAAATGTTCTGTAGATGTCTATGAAATCCAAATCTTGAAAGGTTAAGTTTAAATCTAAAATTTCTTTACTTAGTATCTTATTGGAGAATCTATGCAACACTGCCAAAGGAGTGTAAAAATCTCCTACTATTATGGAGCTGGAGGAAATCAAGTTGCTCATGTCTCTTAGAATCTCTCTTATAAATAGAGGTACATTCTGATTGGGTGCATAAATGTTAATAATTGAAATGTCATCATATTGAGTGTTACCCTTAACAAATATGAAGTGACCATCCTTATCTTTCCTTACTTTTGTTGGTTTAAACCCTATTATATCTGCAAATAAAATTGCAACACTTGCTTTTTTCTGATTTCCATTTGCCTGGAATGTAGATGACCATCCCTTTACCCTGTGTCTATATTTATCTTTTAAGGTAAGATGATATTCTTGTATTTAGCGGATATCAGGCCTGAGTTTTTGTATTTATTCAGCCAACCTGTGCCTCTTTAGAGGAAAATTTAAGCCATTCACATTCGTTGAGAATATTGATAAACCTGGTAGACTTTTTGGTATCAAGTTTTTCAAAAGTCCAGTGAACATTTTTAATCCTTCCACCACTGTTGAAGTCAGAATTTGATGAAAAGTTTTTGAGTGAGTTTACTTTTGTGGTGGTCATTATGGAGAATAGGTCTGAGAATATCCTGGAGAGCTGGTTTGGTTGTGGCAAATTTCTTCAACATGTGAATGTCATTAAATTATTTAATTTCTCCATCATAAATGAAACTCAGTGTAGCTGGATACAGGATCCTGGGTTGAAAGTCATTGTATTTTAGGACACTGAAAGTCAGTAATCACCCTCTTCTGGCTTGAAAGGTTTCAGCAGAGAGATCTGCAGTCATTCTAATATTCTTTCCCTTGTTGGTTATGGTTTTATTACATCTGGCTGCTTTCAGAATTTTCTCCTTCATATTAACTTTAGCGAAGTTAATTATGTGCTTGGGGGATGGCTTATTCAGGCTGTGTCATGCTAGGGTTCTGAAACTGTCTGCTATCTGAATTTCCAAATCTCTTGGCATGTCTGGAAAGTTCTCTTTCATAATCTCATGAAGAATAGTCTCTGTGGTTTGTAAAGCAACTTCATGGCCTTTAGGGATTCCTATAAGGTGAATATTAGTTTTCTTTGACTTATCCCAGACCTCTCTGAGAGAATGATCCAATTTTCCTCTCCATTTCTCTTCCTCTTGAGAGTTAGGACATGTTCAAAAGCTTTCTCTTCAATGTCAGAAATTCTTTTTTGTGCTTGCTCCATTCTGTTACTGAGGGATTCTACTGTATTTCTCAGATCTTTAAGGACTGCAAATTCTTGTCTCAATGTGTCAAAATCTTTGGTGATTCTGTCTTTGAATTCATTCAATTCTTCAGACAACTTTTAAAATGCTCCTTGAATTTCTAATTCCAACTTTGCCTCTATGCTATTAATCTAATTTGTAATCCAAATTCTGAATTTAATTTCTGACATCTAAGCCATCTGTTTATGAATGGGATGAAAGTTTAATTAGAAAAAGGACATTTTTTCATAGTCTCAGAGTATGTCCCCTCAAATATTTAATAGTTACAAAGGGGAAAATTGCTGCAAAGAAACTCAGAAAACACCATCTTAACTGAGTGATCAGGGTTAACATCACCAGAAGTAGGATATATTGACATCGTGTACCCTTTCATACAATACATTGAGACAGGCACTTCACCTCTGTAGTATCCTTCACAATTTGTACAACCTTAATTTCATTGTGAGAAAACATCAGAGAAAACCAAATTGATGTCTAAAAATAGAACTCTTCAAAAGTGTTCTGAGCAACTGTCATAGATTAGACTAAAAGATGTGATAACTGAATGCATTGTGGGATTCTGAATTGAATCCCACAGAAAAAAGAAACAGAAAAAAGAAAAAAGGGCAACTGGTGGATTCTAAATAAGTCATATGTTTTCATTAATGGTATTGCACTAAAGTTAATTTTTTTGGTTTTGGTAAGTTTTCTATTGTTATGTAAGATATTAATATAAGGCAGTGGTGATTGATGGGTATACTGGGACTCTGTGCTGGTTTTGTACTTTTTCTGTATATTTAAAATTATCTCAAAATTTTTTAAATATGTGTTTTTTTAAAATATATTCTTGTGTCTTATGAGCTTCTTGTGTCTTGTGAAAAGGACCACATAGATTAATAATTGAACTGTCAAAGACTTAACCTTATGGTAGACAGCCATAGCTAGGATACCGTTAGGACCACTGCACCGAGGAAGAGCATGCAGCTTAGCATTCACTTGAAATCATATTACTGAAATCAGTCTTTGATGCTGGGATGATTTCAAGATTATTTTGTTTTGTTTTTAAGTATTATGTCTTCCCTGGTGATAGATTGGTAAATGTAGATGTTTGAAAGGATGTATATATGTTTACGTGCTTGTACAAACTTTTGATCTTTATTCTCTGCATTACCAGGGTCGTTATGGTTGCTGTCGCTTTCTAAGAGATGGATATAAAACTCCAAAGGAGGTAGGTTACTTTTCCCCACAATGAACCCAAAGTAGAATGGTCACATCTATCTGTAGCCTTATTTAGAGAAAATGCTTACCTCACTAATGATACTTATATAGAGCATTAATTAGGATAGTAATAACTGATGTTTGCTGTATTCATTGGGCTTAGCTGCCAGGTTCTCAATTTGTAGACCTTTGTGAATTAAAGTAGAAGAAGATGCAGTCTTTCCATCCCTTATGTTCGATTAATTTCATGAGAGAACTACTGGTGGATGGCAAAATCAGTGGATGAAAGTTTAAGCACAAAGAATATTTTTGTTGTTTCAAAGTATCTCTAAGTATTTATTAATAACTACAAAGGAAAAAATCATTCCATCTGTAGATATTTTTGGACCCCTTTCATCTTTTGTGGTTGGTTGGTTCTAAATAGTACTTGATCTTGAAAAGGTATGTTACTTTTGTTCTACTAGTCAAAAGTTTTTGGAAATATCAGTGGGGAAAATTAAGTATTATTAAAGGTGTTGAATGGTCAATATGAAGCACTTCATTGGTAATGCTGATGTTGTTTAAGGCTTAGGTTGGCTTGTCAAGAGCCATTATGATTTTTTTTTTTAATCTTAAAGCTTAAAATCTTTTGGTCTATTTCCTTTCTTCCACTTCATTCTTTAGTCCTGAATTTGACTTCTGCCCCTACCATTCTACAAAAATTATGTTCTGAAGCATCATCATAAGCTCATAAATGACCAATCCAATAGCCTTTTCTCAGTCCTTATTCTCTTTGACTTGTCTATAGTACATCACTGTTATCTACCCTTAATTTTTCTTTTAATTCTTTTTCTATTTTAATTCCACAACACTTCACTTCACTATCCTGATTATTCTATTTCTGTCCTTCCCTTGTGGTACTCTAAGGGTCTACCAAGATTACATGTGGGGGCAGTTTTGTTTATTTTACATAGTACTATTTCATAAAGCTTATCTATAACTTTTACTTAATTTTTACCTCTATGAGGATGATTCCCAAACTTGCATCTCTAGCTACCCTTCAAAACATTTCTACCGGTATATCCTACTATTACCTCAAAGTTAACATGTATGAAACCAAACTCAACTTTATTGCAGGCCGATCTTACTTCATACACCCTCTCATGATGTCATTATTATCCCAATTCCACTAGTTAGAAGTCACATCATAGAATACTTGCTAAGGGTATGCAAAGAGTATGTGCATGCTTTACCTTCCTGACTACCTTCTCTGAAATAAACTATCAATAGTGAAAGGCTGTATTATAATACTTCTGAACTAAAGATATGCATCTAACATCTGAGTGGTAAGAAAGGCTTTGTTTATTGTGTTTTTACCAGGATCCCAATCGTCTGTACTATGAACCAGCTGAGCTGAAGCTATTTGAAAACATTGAGTGTGAATGGCCATTGTTCTGGACATACTTTATCCTTGATGGGGTCTTCAGTGGCAACGCAGAACAGGTAATGAGCTAGGGAGAGCTTTTCAGCAGGATATTCTAGTTATGTCTTCTTTTAGTTAATGGCTATAACCAACCCTGTGTCCAAATGGGTCTTTCTAATATAGAAGAGACAGGGTGGTCTCTCCTAAAGACTAATAGCTAAGGGTACTAAGAGTAAGAAGATCTGAATCCTTCCTTCCTTCCTTTTTCTTCCTCCTTTTCCTATCTTCTTCCTCTTTCCCTTCCTTCTTTTCCTCTTATTTTCTTCTTATTCTTTTATTCTTCTCCGCCTCCTCATCCTTCCCCTTCCTTTTTCTCCTCCCCTTCCTCTTCCTCTTCAGATAAATACATGTTGTAAATACAAGGTACAGTTAAGTTTGCTATGGTGAGACATGTGGATTCTTTAAAAATCACCTTGCTATGCATATTTAAGAATTTAGAACGACAGAGCTGATGGGAAAATGGGGTAAGGGACACAGTAAAATGCAACACATACAAAATGATAGGAACCTAATAAAAATAGTATCACAGATTTATATATGTTAAATAGTTAAGAAATACATAAATATCATAATAGTTATGTTTTTTTACCTTGAAAAATACCCAGAGTTTGCTTGTAGAAATGTATGCCCATGCTCTCACCAGCTAATCCACCTGGCTCTCACTTCCTACCACCCTATATAAAAGCAGAAAAGACAAGAGGAGAAAAAAAGAGTGAGAGAAAAATGGAGGGAAAAAATATAGAGCAGAGAAGAAAAGTGAAAAATAGGTTGAGAGAAAGGAGGGGAGATCAAAAAGAGGGGAAGGCACATAGCTGCATAGCCAGAGTGGCCTCAGAGGGTTGCCACTTGTAAGTTATAAGGTGGTGAAAGGAGGATTATCTGAAATTGGACAGAAAGTTGTAACAACAAATATAGATCAGTATGATTCCTTGTCCTCCTGAGATTTGTGCATGTATGTGTGTTTAGTGTATTCTTACATGTTAGTTCAGCTAAGCGCCTTCTTAGTATGAAATTGTACAAATGTAAAATTCATATGATGCTTAAGTTGTTCCCTAATATATCAATACATTGGAACAAATTTGTGTTTTTAAAACAAGTGTTAAAGCAGAAATTACTGTATGTTTTTTTCACCATAAATTGTTTTACATTTTATTTATTGCTAAGGTGTTAAGCAAAGAACATAAATTTGACCATATAGAAACCTAATTTAGCAGGTAAAAATGCAGTTTTAAAACCAATACATCCTAAAGTAAAGAAGCTATACTTAAGGTATACATTGTGGATCAAAACAGGCCTTTGGCTACGGGGGCAAGATGGCTGAATAGAGGCAGCTATCACCAGAAGTACTGAGCGAGGAGAAAAATTGGACTGAAGTGACCTCAGAGAAATTGAAATGGGAGGTTGAACAGAAGGAAAAGAAATTGAGGCATTCAGCATCCCCACTGAGATAAATTGTGAAGACAAGAAAGAGGAAGGAAGAGAATAGGTATGGAGCTACAAGACTACAGGTGCCCAGTGCCAAAGGGGATGGGAGACCCCCACCCATGGGGCTTGCCAAGGGCTCTCCATGAGCAGCAAACAGAGAAATTTTCACCCTATGGAAGAGAACCGGGAAGTCCCAGTTCTGCACCTAGGAATTTTCACCTCTGGCTCAGCATCCTACATGGGACAAAAGTGAATAAGTTTTCTCTCTGAAGCCTTGAGCCTACAACTGATCCCTCCTAAAAGTTTTCCCCCTGCAAGGACCAGCTTCCCAGTACCCCAAGGCAGAGTGCTACCCCAGCCCAAACGTCCTGGAGGGTCTGCCCCACCTCAAGGCACCAGAAAGGTGAAGGAGCCCTCAACTGCAGAAGCAAGGGTTACAGAGGCTACTTTCTCTCTGACCACAACCAGCCAGATCCCTAACTGGCTACAGGTTAGGTTTCCCCTGCTAGGGAGAGCCTTTCCCCTGCCTTCTGGAGTGGCTCTGCATGGTGTCTATGCCTGTCATCCCCCAGTTTACTTCCTGCTGACATGGAGAAACCCAGGCCTAGCCTCAGGCAATTCTGCCTTGAGGCGGTCCAAGAAGCAATCCATAGCAGATCCATTACTTCAGCTCCCAGTGACAGCCATATCATGTCCAGCCCATAGCCAGGAATCCAGATAAAAATTACAGCTTTTTGAATTTGCATAAGGGGCATTAGCACCATGGAGAGGGAACATTTGGGTATTAGAAAGCTTACCCACATCCAGCTGTAGGAGTTCAGCCAGGATTTCAATCTATTTCAGCAGGGTCTCCAGCAAAAAAAAATCACAGGTCTTTTAAACTGGGTGGAGGGCGAACTGATACTAGGCCTGAAATGGTTCATGCTAACTGGGACCAGCCCCCAGTTTAGGACTGTCACCAGGAGATCTTCCCCCACCCAACTTAGAGAAAGGAAGGCCAGCCATCAGACACTCTCCGCTGCAGCCCAAAAGGACATCTATGTGAGGCTGTGAGGTAAGGGCCACAGACATAAGCTCCAACTCATTTGAACAGGCAATGGTGAAGCAGTGGCAAGCTCCATAACTTGGGGTCTCCAGATCTGATTTCAACCTGCTAGTTTTAGTTGGCAAATAGGTCCCTGGGGTGCTGATGAAGTGCCTTCAATTAGATTATAACTCAATGACTATTTAGGAACAACCTAACATTACAGCTTAAAAAATATAATAAATATATAAATAATCTGAAAATTGACCTGGGGAGGAGCCAGGAAAAAAACTGTGGCAACATGAAAAATCAAAGCACATCAACCCCTCCAAGAGATTTCAAGGAAGATACAGTTGAAAATATCATCCATAGAAAAATTGCTGAAATGACAGAAATAGAATTCTGAATATGGATGTCAAATGAGATGAATGAAGAGAAGATGAGAAAGGAAATCCAAGAAGAATTCCAAAAACTGTCTTGACAATTTAGTGAAATTAAAGCCAAAGTCACCAAGGATCTGGACATTATTAGGAAGAATATAGTAGAGCTTAAGGAATTGAAAGAGGCATTCAAGGAGTTTCAAAACATAGCTGAGGGTCTCAGCAATAGGGTAGAACATGGAGAAGAAAGCATCTCAGAAGTAGAACACAAACAAGGCTTTTGAATTAACCCAATCATTCAGAGATGCATAAAAAACAAGAAGAAAAGCAGAGTTTTCCCTGAGAGAGTTGTGGCACTACTCTTAAAGATTGAATATTCAATTCATAAGGCTCCCTGAAGGAGAAGAAGATGGTCCACATGGTATGGGAGCTCTACTTAAAGACATCATAGAGGAGAATTTCCCAAATATTGCAAGAGACCCAGAAATCCAGATACTAGATAGTTTCAGAACCCCAGCTAGACTCTATTCAGACAAAGCAACTCCTAGTCACATGGTAATTAACATGGCCAAAGTCAAAATGAAAGAGAAAATTCTGCAAGCTGACAGGCATAAGCAAATTCTTAACCTACAAGGAGAAAAATATCAGGGTAACAGCAGATTTCTACACTGAGACTTTTCAAGCCAGAAGAGGGTGACCATCTATCTTTTGCCCTTTTTAAACAAAACAATTTTCAGCCCAGGATACTGTATCCTGCTAAACTAAATTTCATTTTTGACAGAGAAATCAATTCAATGCAAACATTGAGTAAATTTGCAACAACAAGATAAGCACTACAGGAAGTACTCATCTCCTTCTTCACCTGACCAGCACAATGGACCACCAGCAATGTAAGCATACCCAGAAATTGAAGGAGAAAACCTAACTTTGACAATGGCATAAAGGATAAAACTAAGCAATGGACCTACACAAAACAAAATGAACTGAACTCCACCATACTGACCAATTCACTCAATAAATATGAATGGCTTGAATTCCTCACTGAAGAGGTACAGGCTGGCTGACTAGATAAAAAGACACAAGCCAAATTTATGCTATTTTCATGAAACATATCTAATTTTCAAGGATAAAACAGGACTCAGGGTTATAAGGGATGGAAAACTACTTTAGGCAAATGGAAATTAAAAGAAAGGAGGGGTTGCAATCATATTTGCCTATATAATTGGATTTAAACCAACAAAATTAAGAAAAGGCAAAAATGGACAGGATATACTGGTCAAGGGAACAATACAACAAAAAGACACTTCAATCTTGAACATCAATGTACCCAACATAAATGCTCCCAGATGTATAAAATGTAACCTAATTGATTGGAACAATATGATATCCTGCAACTCCATAGTAATGGGAGACTTAAACACCCCTCTGACAGAACTGGACAGATCCTCTAAGCAAAAACTAAATAAAGAAGTAATAAAGAAGTAAATATACTTTAAGACCCTTCAACAAATGGGCTTGAGACATATACAGAACATTTCATCTAATAAAATTGAATGTAAATTCTTCTTGTCAACCCAAAGATCATCCTCCAAAATTGGTCATGTCTTAGGGCTCAAATAAAACCTCAATAAATTTAAAAGAGTAGAAATTATACCTTGTATCTTCTCTATCATGGAATAAAAGTAGAACTCAACTCCAAGGGAAATACTTAAACTTACATAAAGTCATGGAAAGTAAACAATCTTATGGTGAATGACAGATAGGTCAAGGAAGAGATAAAGAATGAAATAAATAGATTTCTCAGTGAAGCTAGAAGCTATCAAAACCTATAGAATATACTAAGGCAGTCTTAAGAGAAACGTTTATAGCATTAGTTGCCCATATCCAGATAACAGAAAGAACAGAAGTCATCAACCTAATGGTCCATCTCAAGGAGCTGGAAAAAGAAGAGCAATCCAATTCCAAATGCAGCAGGAGAAAAGAACCAAAATTAGATCACAAGTAAATGCTTTGAGAAGACAAGTATCATTTAGAAAATCAGCGAAATAAAAATTTGCTTCCTTGAAAAAAATGAATAAAATCAATAAACTCTTGGCAAGAGAGACTGGAAATAGAAAAGTAAGATCTCTACTAACCTCAATCAGAAATGAAAAAGGGGAAATAACAACAGATACCACAGAGATACAGAAGATCATCAATGATTACTACAAAAAACTCTATGCACAAGTGCTTGCTTCAGCAGCACATATACTAAAATTGGAACAATACAGAGAAGATTAGCATGGCCCCTGCACAAGGATGACACACAAATTTGTGAAGTGTTCCATATTAAAAAAAAAAAAAAAAACCTATGCACAGAAACTTGAAAACATAGAGGAAATGGACCAATACCTGGAATCACACCACCTTTCTACATTTAACCATATAGAATTAAAAATTTTCAGTCAACCAAATTGTATTTGCAATCATATCAAGCACAGAAATTATAACAACAATTAAAAATCTTTCATAAAATAAAAGACCTAGAGCAGATGGTTTCACATGAGAAGTCTACCATACTTTCAGAAAGGAACTAGTGCCTATACTGCAGAAACTATTCCAAAATATAGAGAAGGAAGAAATCCTCCCCAACGCATTCTATGAAGGAAATATCACACCACAGGTAAACCAGGAAAGGACCCAACAAAAAAGGAAACTACAGACCAATATCATTAATGCAATGTGATGTAAAAATATTCAGTAAGATCTTAGCAAACATAATACAGCTACATGTTAAAAAAATATGTATCATGATCAAGAGAGCTTTATCCCAGGAATTAAGGTTGGTTCAACATATGTAAATCTATAAATGTAATTCACTGCATAAATTGAAGCAAAAACAAAGATCATAAGATCTTCTAGTTGCAGAAAAATTATTCTACAAAATTCACCATTCTTTTCTTACAAGAGCCCTTAAAGAAATAGGTATAGATGGGACATTTCATAAACTGATACAGGGCATTTAAAACAAACCTACAGCCAATATCATATTGAATGGAGTAAAACTGAAAGCATTTCCACTTAGAACTGGAACTAGGCAAGGATGCCCACTGTTGTCACTGCTTATGAAAATATTTCTGGAAATTCTAACCAATGCAATCAGGCAAGAGAAGGATTATCAAAGGTATTCAAATAGTGGTAGGTAAAGTTAAACTTGCTCTTTGTGGATGATAGGATCTTCTACTAGGAAAACCTCAGGGTCTCAACCATAAAGCTCCTGAAAGTGATGAAGGAATACAGTATTGTCTCAGGATAAAAAATTCATGTCCACAAATCAATAGCCTTCATATACTCCAATAATAGTCAAGCTGAGAATAAATCAAAGATGTGATACCTTTCACAGTACCTTCAAAGAAAATGAAATACTTGGGAATATACCAAATAAAGGATGTGAAAGATCTCTATAAGGGAATTATAAAACCCTGAGAGATAAAATAGCAGAAGATGTTAACAAATGAAAGAATATACCATGCTAATGGCTACAAAGAATCAACATTGTTAAAATGTCCTTACTACTCAAAGTGATGTACAGATTTAATGCAATACCCATCAAAGCACAAACATCATACTTTGAAGAATTTAAAAAAAATAGTACTTTATTTTTATGGAACCAGGAAAAAAAATGAATAACCAATGCAATTCTACTAAACAAAAATATATCTGGACGCATTGTGTTACCAGACATCAGATTATACTACAAATCTATAGTGATCAAAACAGCATGGTCCTGGCACAAAAGTGAAGATAGAGATCTATGGAATGGAACAGAGAGCCTAGAGATGAACCTAGCCACATATCACCATCTGATCTTTGATAAAGCAAACAAAAGTGTGCACTAGGGAAAAGAATCCCTACTTAATGATTCTGGGAGAACTGGTTAACCACAGGTAGAAGACTAAAACTGAACCTTCACCTCTCTCCACTGACAAAATTGACTTAAATTTAAAACATAAACTAATAAGAAATGTAGAAGAAAGTGTGGGAAAAACTATGTTATCATCCTGGAAAAAGATTTTATCAAGAAGACTGACTCTTGGCAATTGCAGTGACATCAAGAATAAATAAATGGGACATGATCAAGATAAATAGCTTCTCTTCAGTCAAGGATAAAACAACTAAAACCAAACAGACAGACCCTTCAGAATGGGAGAGGATATTTGCATGCTATGAATCTGACAACGGACTGGTAACAAGAATCTATAGAGAACCTAAACTAATCAAGAATAAAAGAGTAAACAATCCCATTTATAAGGGGGCAAGAAACTTGCACAGAAATATCTCTGAAAGCATAGACTAATGGCAAAAAATACTCATTGTCCTTAATAATCAGAGAAATGCAAATCAAACCCACTCTGAGATATCACCTAACCCCTGTGAGAATAGCCCCATCACAAAATCCCAAAGCTGCAGATGCTGGCATGGATATGGAGAGAAGAGGACACTTTTACACTGCTGGTAAGATTGCAAAATAATATAGACTCTATGGAAAGACATATGGAGGATCTTCGGTAGAACTTCCTTTTGATCCTGCAATCCTATTATTGGGTATCTACCCAGAAGAAAAGAAATTATTTTATCAAAACGCCACTTGCTCTGGAATGTTTATTGCAGCTCAGTTCACAATTGCCAAGACATGGAAGCAACCCAAGTGCCCATCAACCCATAAATGTATTAATAAACTGTGGTATACTTATACTGTGGAATACTCTTCAGCCATAAAAAACAAGGAGACTTTACATCTTTTGTATTAAAAGATTACATCTTTTGGATGGAGTTGAAGTACATTCTTCTTAATAAAGTATCATAAGAATAGAAAAGCAAGTATCCAGTGTATTCAATGCTAGTATGAAAACAATAGATAAACAACTAACTACAAGCCCATGTGAGAGACAAACATATGTATATTTAAGTGAAAGAGTGGGGGGAGGGGAAAGGGGAGGAGGGAGGGAATTGGAAGCTCTTATATTAGTCACAAGATAACAGTATACAGCACATTCCCTAGATGAAGGACTCAACTACAACCTGAATTTTACCTTAGAAGTGCAAACAATGTAACTTCATCATTTGTACTCTCTTATTAATCTGAACTAAAAATACAAAACAAGCCTTAGAAGGCAGACTGATTTGGACTGCATTCTTTACCCAACCATGTACTTGATCTGTGATTGTCCACAAATTCTCAACCTCTTTGAGCTTTAATTTCCCTGTAAAAAGGGCTTAATTACACAAACATCCTAAGAGGGTTATTAATATTAAATGCATTATACTATGCAAAACTCCTAGCATAATATTTGTCCTATAAGAAGAATTTAGTAAGTGCTATATCCCTTTCCTTTTCTTCTTACTAGGTGATTAAGCTCTTTTGAGACAGGACCTTCTTTGGTCACAAAGTGCTCCAAGGGAGAATGGAACTTTCTGTAAGGTTTTTTTCCCATGCCTTTCTGTGATCTGCAGGTTCAAGAGTATAGAGAAGCTCTGGAAGCAGTCCTTATCAAGGGTAAAAATGGAGTGCCACTTCTGCCAGAGCTGTACAGTGTTCCTCCTGACAGGGTGAGTTGGACAGCATTGTAACATGTAGCTAATAGAGAAGGAGCAATACCTTCATAGGACTGCCTCATATGGGTCAAATAATTTTCTGTTTTTACTTCAGGTTAGTATGAGTCAAATAATTTTTAACCTTGTTATTTTAATATTATCTTTATGTAGAAGACAACAGAAATGTGATTTTATTCCTTTAAAAATAAATTGTATTAAGACATTTATATTCTACATTTAGAGAGATTCACATGTACCCTTATAGGATGAACCATAGGCTATGTTAACCAGTTGGATGAAGTATTTCAAATTGTGTATGGAAAAGCATATTTTACCCCATGATAGTATTAATGTACACAGCTATGATTTAATAAAATAAGAAAAGAAAAAAAATAAGTTGTAAAGCAGCCTGAATTATGACATTGTTGCACAGCAAAACAAGAATAAAAATCAAACCTTAATGTTGACAATGATATGGAGATCAATAGGTAGAACTAGAACGATGGTCTGTGTGAGCTCTCAGAATTTATTGTTCTGTGCTTTGAGGCCAGTAACCCATGATTATTTAAATGGATCAGGTTTGGAGAATGACGTATGTCCTGTCTTCATTTTCCCAAATTGCCAGCCAGGTGTACTATGGTTCCTCTTATTCATTGCAAAAGATCATTAGACATGGAAGAGATACACTCTTTCTTTCTGGTGGGGGTGGGTAGGATAAGCTCCTAGCAACATTAGCAGCATTAGACCTTGTTAGAAATAGATTTCAGGTCCTACTTCATATCTTCTCAATCAGAATCTGTATTTTAACAAGATCCTCTGGTGATTTTTTTTGCCCCCAGCAATCTGAGGAGCACTGTCTAATAGTGCTTGACTTTTTACTGCATTGCATATGTGACTGCAAGGAGTATAAATCATAATCCAAACTCAGTATTTTTAATTATCTAAACCTTCTATAACTCATCATTTGCCCTCTTCATCTTTCCTTTTAGGTTGATGAAGAATATCAAAACCCTCACACTGTGGACCGAGTTCCCATGGGGAAGTTGCCTCATATGTGGGGTCAGTCTCTGTATATTTTAGGAAGCTTGATGGCTGAGGTAAGAGAAATCTTAAAGCCCGTCCCAGTTTTTTCTGCCTTAGTTACCATGAATCAGATTCATGAGGAGCTCATTAAAGCTGAAGGATGTCTTTTGCCTTTTGCAGTTTGCCTTAATTATTATAGTCTTTCCTCTACGTCCTCAGAAGGGGGGAACATGGTCAACCCTCAACAAAAAGTCTTTTGCCCCTTGCAACCATGTCCCTCATACTGCCCAGGTCTCCTTTATTTGGCACTGTACTTGAAGTTGCTAATGAAGCAGGGCCTGCATCTTTCCTTTTCAAAACTCTTCTCAGTACCTTGCCTGATGATGAATGCAATTAAGCTTAGCTAGTTGATTTCTGATAATGGACAGAGTACTAGCCTTTTGAAGCAACATAATGTTTCTTTACATTATGATTCTTTAATTGAATTAACTGATAATTTTAGGTACTATGACAAGTGATTAAGAACATCATGGTTTTTGTTTATCTTGTTGGGTTTTTTTGTTTGTTTTTCGGTCAGAGGTTCTTTAAGCGTTCCTTACATCAAATTCTATTGAGATAGCCCTTAATGAAGCACTAGGAAATTTCTGACTTTGTGTATAACTTCTTTGTGACATTTTGAGCCTACACAGGAAGGTTCTCTTTCTCAAATGTTTTTCAGATTTGCTAGCAAATCTATTTCTCCACTGTAGGTTATTTTGATAAGCTATAATGCAGGCTTCTAGAGGATTGAAGGTAGGACTTAGCTATACATTCTGAGCCAGACTCTTGGACCTGTTATATATAACCATTGATTTTCTACAATTATTTTGGTTTGGATTTTTTTCCCTATTTTCGTGGCTGTTGAATTATCTTTAGTTGACATTACTAAATGAGTTTAGAAGAAATGGACAGAATTTTTTTTTTTAATAATTCTTACCTGGTGACATTCTCGTTCAATTAGAAAATTAAATTCAGATTCAGTGGAGGGAGGGGGATTGGAGGTATCACTTCTG